GTGACCCCATTTGGGTTTGTTGTTGTTTTTTTTTTATAATTAATTAATTTATTTTTAGTTTTCAACATTCACTTCCATAAAATTTTGAGTTTTAAATTTCCTCCCCCTCCCACTCTTCCCCCCCCCAAGATGGCATGAATCTGATATAAGCTCTACTTATACATTCATATTAGTTATGATGTAAAAAACAATTCGAACTAATGAGAGGAACCATGAGAATGAAGCAATAAAACAAACCAACAAAAGAAAAGGAGAGCAAACAGTATGCTTCCATCTTCATTCAGTCTCCATAGGTCTTTCTTTGGATGTAGATAGCAATTTCCATCATGAATCTTTTGGAGTTGTCTTAGAACCTTGCATTGCTGAGAAGAGCTAAGTCTATCAAAGTCAGTCATCGTACAATGTGGCTATTACTGTGCACAATGTTCTCCTGGTTCTGCTCATTTCACTCAGCATCAGTTCATATAAGTCTTTCCAGGTTCTTTTGAAGTCTGCCTGTTCATCATTTCTTTTTCTTTTTCTAATTAATTAATTTATTTTTCGTTTTCAAGAATCACTTCCATAAGCTTTTGAGTTTTAAATTTTCTCCCCCTCCCTCTCCACCTCCCTCTGCAAGATAGCATGCAATCTGATATAGGCTCTACATATACATTCCTATTAAACATATTTTCACATTAGTCATGTTGTAAAGAAGAATTAGAACCAATAGGAGGAACCACAAGAAAGAAGAAACAAAACAAAATAAAACAGAGGAAGAAAAAAAAGAGTAAATAGTATGCTTCGATCTGCATTCAAACTCCATAGTTCTTTCTCTGGATGTGGATAGCATTTTCCATCATGAGTCTTTTGGAGTTGTCTTAGATCCTTGCATTGCTGAGAAGAGATAAGTCTATCAAAGTTAGTCATTGCACAAAGTGGCCATTACTGTGTATAGCATTCTCCTGGTTCTGCTCACTTCACTCAGCATCAGTCCATACAAGTCTTTCCAGGTTTTTCTGAAGTCTGTTTGCTCATCATTTCTTATAGCACAATAGTATTCCATTACATTCATATACCGCAACTTGTTCAGCCATTCCACAATTGATGGGCATCCCCTCAATTTCTAGTTGTTGGCCACCACAAAAGGAGCTGCTATAAATATTTTTGTACATGTGGGTCCTTTTCCTGTTCTTCTGATCTCTTTGGGATACAGACTTAGAGGTGGTATTGCTGGGTCAAAGGTTAAATTGTTTCTTTCTGGCTGCTTGCAGTATTTTCTCTTTGATCTGGTTATTTTGGAATTTAGCTACAATATTCCTTGGTATTTTGCAAAGAAGAGAATAGAGGGTGAGCGAGAAGGAAGCATAGATAAGCAGGATAGCTTTGAAACTTATAGATTGAATTTATTCTTAAAAAGAAAAGCAAGCTATAAATAAGAGACATGAGGTCTTGTGTACAATTCTCTTTTTCTCTTCTACTATGTATGTGGAAATGCCCCCTTTTATTTGATGTTTAAGTTCAAAATAAAAATAAATTAATTTTAAAAAACAACAATAAAAGAGGGGTTATGTGCCTGTGGTGATATGATTTTCAACCTTCAGGAATAGATGAGGTAGGAATCAGATAGATGAGAAAGGAAGCAAGGTGAATTTGTTAGAACAGGAGTTTCTTCCTGCCATTCAGACCAACACTAGGCCTTCACAAAGAGGGGTTGGGAGAAGGGAGTCTCTTCTCCCTCTCAGTCTCTCACTTCCTCTGCTCCTCTGACAGAGGCTGATAAATGTGGCATTCATACATAGTTTTATATTAAGACAAAGAACATGAACCATCTGCTCTTGGGCGTAGAGTGAAAGCAACACCCCTGACTGCCCAGGCAAATAGGCATGACTGAACAACCGCGCTTACCACACTGCTGCTACTCAGAGATGTCAGCTCCAGACCAGCCCACCAACATGAGGTCCTGCCAGTGGAGACTGGGTCAGAGCTGGTGGGCCTTCCTCTGTATCTTATATATAGCAGTCTTCTTGCTCCTCTTCTCCCTTTCTTCCTTTATCAGGGAACCTAAATATTACCCTTCCAGGTAAGAGTCTACCCTTTCCCAAATTTCTTCTTTCTGAAAAAAATGAATAAAGCTGTGTGGCTTCCAAAAATTTGGGGTGGCAAACAGCTGGAGATCTCCTGTGGTTTATGTGGGCATCTAAGCAGTCAGGGATACTGCTTCAGATTTTCAGGGAGAGTTCTGAATAAGCAGTAAGGAAAAGGCCTAAGGAACTAGGGACAGAAAGAGGGACAGTAGTCCCTCCCCTCAAGTTACTTATGTTCTACTGGGGAGGGAGAGCCTAGGAAGATTTTGGGAAACAGAAGGCACAGATAGAAACTTTTCTTCTGAGTGTGTGTGTGTGTGAAAATAATTCCTGGAAGCTGTGTACTCTGGCCTCGTAGAGAAACAGAATAATAAAGGGTAAAGACCAACTGAGACAACCCATGCTATCTGAAACTTCAGTAGGCCAACGACTATCAGTGGCAGAAAATGAATGAGAGTTTGGATTCCTTCCAACCCCCCACCTTAATCCCCAACAACTGATGGGACACTGGCATCAAAGTTGTAGCCCAAAAGGTTTGTGTTGGGGTGTGAGTCCAGAGGATTGATCTCAAGATTAAGAGGTAGAATAGATCTTAGATATCATTTAGTGATTCAACCTCATTATTTTATAAAGGAGGAAACTGAAACCCAGAGAATAGAAGTGACTTCCCTACAGTTCGTAGCTCAGTCTAGATTCAAACCCAGGTCCTCTGACTCCATGTTGGAGTGGTCTTGCCTCTGCAAAACAGTCATTTTACTTCTCTGGGTCTTAGTTTACTCATCTCTAAAATGACAAGGTTGGACTAGAATGATATGTAAGGCCCCTTCCAACTGTAAAACCCTTTGATAAAATATACTATTGTGATAGAATTTAATAAAGGTAAACTGAGGCACAGAATTCCAAACTTTATCAGTTTATTAGTAGGGTACAAACCTGTTAATATAGTGGGTCAAATGGCTGCCTCAGTTAGACCAATGATCTAGAGGAAAAGGTGCAATCCCTTTTTATAAGCATAGAACAAAAAATAGAACTGGGCAGGTGAGGAAAATAATGCCGTTGCAACATCATAGGGGTGAGGACAACACCATTGCATGGAAATTGAGAATGAGAGGCTAGCAACAACTTCCTGCTTCCCACCTGTGACTAAGAAATGTTCATTGTTTGAGTCCACCTGCAAGGTTAGAGATAGTGGACCAGACTTTTTTAGATAACAAAACAAACATTATTGAAGGATAGCTTTATAGTGTAAAGATAATAAACCACACTCGCTGGCATCTACCTGCATCCCTCAAAGATAAGAGAGTTCCTTGAGGCAATAATAGAACAGAGATTAGCAGGAGAACAGAACTTCTAAACTCAGTTCATTGGCAAAGAGACAAAGAAATGTAGCTTGAGCAATCACAAAAATGGAGCAGTAATACAAAATAGAATCAATTACAGTTTAATATGAATGTATAAGTAGAGCCTATATCAGATTGCATGTCATCGTGGGGAGGAGAGGTTGGGGGAGAAAATTCAAAACTCACAATCTTATGGAACTGAATGTTGAAAACTATAAGTAAATTAATTATTAAAATCAATTACAGATAGAATCAATAGAATCAATTATTTTAAAATAATATTTTTTTCCAATTGCATGTTAAAACAATTTTTAACATTCATTTTTTTTTATTTTGAGTTCCAAATTCTCTCCCTTTCTCCCAACCCCTGGTAAGCAATTTGATATAGGTTATACATGTGCAGTCATGTAAAACATATTTCTATATTGGTCATGTGAAAGAAAACACAGACGAAAAAAACCCTACAAAAACAATAAAGTGAATTCCAATCTATATTGACTCCATCAGTTCTTTCTCTGTAGGTAGATAATATTTTTCAGCATGAGACCTTTGGAATTGTCTTGGATAGCTAAGGCACAGAGTAGAATCAATTATGAAGTGATACCAAATCAATTTAATTTCTTCCATATCTTTGGCAATGGGTATGGTAACACTTTCTCTTACTGAGTCAGGCCTGAAATTTGGCCCAGGCACAAGAATAAAGGCTATTTATATTTCTTCCCATCTGCTTTAACCTAGAACCTTGATACTGCCTTTACCTAAGATTTTGTTCCCAATCAAAAAGTTAGAGTGGACCCTTAAGGGAAGCTGTCAGCATCCCCAGTGAAGGCCAAGTTCTTTGAGCCAGGAAAAGGAAGAGAAGGGAAGGCAAGGCAAGGCAAGGGGAGGGAAGGGAAGGCAAGGAAAGGCAAGAGAAGGCAAGGAAAGGGAAGGTAAAGCAAGGGAAGAAAAGGCAAGGGAAGAGAAGGGAAGGGAAGGAAAGGGAAAAGAAGGGAAGGCAAGGCAAGGGAAAGGAAAGGGAAAAAATTTATTAAGCACCTACTATGTACCACAAATCATGCCATGCCACAAATATTATATCATTTCCTCTTCACAACTACCCTAGGAGGTAGGTGTTATTATTATGCCTATTTTACAGTTGAGGAAACTGAGGCAGACAGAGGTTAAGTGACTTGTCCAGGATCACAATGCTAGTAAGTGTCTGAGTCTGAATTTGAAATCAGATCTTCCATCTTCCTGACTAGCCCCAGAGGTCTATCTATTGTACTACCTAGGTAGGAATGGTCCAGGGACAGTCAGGACAAGGGGATAATTACAGGTTGAAATCCTTTTTCAAGAGGTCTTGCTGAATTCCTCCAGCTTCCCCTCCCATATTACTTTCCATGTATTTTATTTGTACCTACTTATTTCCAAGTTGTTTTCCCCATTAGAATATATTTTCTGAGGCCAGGGACTCTTTTTACCTTTCTTTGTATTCCCAGTGTTTAGCATGGTGCCTGACACATTCTAAGATCTTAATAAATGCTTATTTGACTGACTCATTAGTCAGGACAAGGGGACAGACAGAACAGAGGTCCAGGGGAAGAGGATATGTACAATGACCAAGGCCATGACCAGAATCCCAACACCTCTGCCAATCAGCAAGAGTGCTCAGACAGCTAGGCCAACTGCCTCTTTCCAAGGTCCCAGTCCCACAAGCAAGAGAAGGCTAAAAGTGGAAGACTTCCAGGCAGAGCCCCGATGGGACTTTGAGGATGAATATAGATTGGAAGAAGGAAGCCCACAAATGGTGAATCTTCCGGACAGCTTCTGAAAGTGTCACCTACTCATATGTGTTTTTACTTTCTTCACTCCAGCCCAGGGTTTCTTTTTTAGATTTTTTTATGATCCTGGCTCTTGGTCTGCCATTGAATGTAACTCGAAGTCTTCCTTCTGCCTTTATCCCTTTTTCCCTGTGATGATACGGATTGCTGTGTATAGTTCCTGGCCCACTCTTGAGAACATCTTTCTTTTAAAATTTTTTAAAAATTTAATTAACATTTTATTTGTTCCCCAAATACATGTAAAAACAAATTTTAACACTTTTTTTTAAATTTTGAGCTCCAAATTCTCTCCCTCTCCTCCCCCCTCATTGAAAAGGCAAGCAATTTGATATAGGTTATACATGTACAGTCACACAAAACGTATTTCCACGGAGAACATCTTTCTATCAGAATCCTGGGCATAACACTGATGTGTATGTGGTGGTGGTGGACATATTTTTCTACTATTCATTACTATAGTTCCCGAGTCCCTACTAGTGTGGTTCTCACTTACATGAAATCAGTCACTATGACACCAGTAACTCTTAAACACGACTTTATTGAATAAGGTAAATACAACAATAACCATAAAATTTATTCAGTAGAAGACAAAAGCAGGAATAATCATAACATTTACTCAATAAAAGGCAATAGTAATTAGAATAACATTTACTCAATAGAAAATAGGAGCAGGAATAAACAAAAAAAAATTACCTATAAACCTGGGTCACAGTTTCCCATCAATATACATGAGGTGTGTGTGGGAAAATGGATATACACTTACATGAACTTAGCAGGGATGCATATGAGTGGGGCAACCAATGTACTTGGGGCAACTCATGATTCTGGACAGCAAACCTGGATGTCCTTAGGTTTTTTAGAGAACAGTCTACATTATACATTACCTGGTGGACAAAATTTCTTTTCTGCTCCCTGCTCTTTTATGATTCTCATAGCTTTCCTACCTGGCATAACCGCTTCTTTACTCATCTCAGGCTGTTGAAGCAGTCACAAACTCTTTTAGAACACAGTCACCTTTGGCAACATGCTGAAAAAGTATTTCAGAGACAAGCAGTTCCCTTAAACTAAAGAACTGCTAAGCTCCTCCGATCTGCCTACAGCAAAGACGAATCTCTTATGGCAAAAGATACATGTTTTCCCCTTTGTTTCTCCCTCTCAAACCAGAGAGGTCAGTAGCAAGCCACCCCGCTTGTGTGAGAGATTATCCCGCTCTCAGACTGTAGGCGGCTCTGGGGAGCAAAAAGCCCAGATAGCTCTTCACAAAGCAGCAAAATTCAGCTGTCTTACATTGTTGTTGTGGTAGTGGTGGTTGTTGTTGTTTGTCTTTCATTCTCAAAGAAAACTAATGACATCACTCATGGAATGGGCATTGCCTCGGGCAAACTGTTCTCTTCCAATAAGCCTTCAGCAGCTGCAGAGTCTATCAGACAGCAATTAGCTCTTTCAGCTAACTCAGCCCCTATTGCTGTATTCTGTCCTCTATAAGTATCTTCTCTCAACACCTTCTATGCCTTCTGCAAACTATTTCTCCTGTACTCAGTCCCCTCCTCTTCTCTCTCTCTCTCTCTCTCTCTCTCTCTCTCTCTCGCTTCTTTCTGGCTTCTTCCTATATCTTCTGATGCCTCAAATCAGTGCCTCCTCAAAACTTATAATGAGATACTTAACAATTCTACTTACATGACTTGAGCAGCCCTTACATAATTCTTTAATCTCTAGTGATTTGATTTACAATTCCTCAGTTTAAAATTTTAGAAGTTAATTAAAATTTTTATTCTGAACACCAAATAGAATGATTATTTGCATATATTAGAATGAGGGGGAATTAGCTATTGCTGGCATTTATGTACCACCCTAAAGTTTGCAAAGTATTTTACATATGTTATCTCATTTGATTCTCACAACAACCCTGGGATGTGGGTGTTATTATTATCCCCATTTTATAAGTGAAGAAACTGAGGCTGAGGGAGGTTGAGTGACTTACCCAGGGTCAAGATTTGAACTCAGATCTTCCTTACTCCAAATCTATGCATTCTATGCATGGTACCATGCATAGTCATATGGACTATTTGTGCCTGACCTTGATAGAGCCTTCCAAGCTTGTACTGGTTTGATCAGCCACAGTGGGACACACTGTACTTGGACCCCAACCTAGTGATGTCATTTTGGTCCTCTCTGAGAACAAAGGACACCAGCTAACCAACCACTTAGCTGCTGGGGGCCATCTCCAGTTGTCCTGATCTATATCTGGCCACTGGACCCAGATGGCTTCAGAGGAGAAAGCGAGGCTGATGACTTTACATAGCCCTTCTTCACTTAAATCTAATTCACTTGCAAGTCGTGGCATCAGCTCCCTGATGCCATGGTCCTCTTTGAGAATGAAGAGGTGGGGGGAGCAGCTAGGTGGTACAGTGGCTAGAGCACCAGTCCTGGAGTCAGGAGGACCTGAGTTCAAATTTGGCCTCAGACACTTGACACTTACTAGCTGTGTGACCCTGGGCAAGTCACTTAACCCCATTGCCTAGCCAAAAAAAAAAAAAGAGAGAGAGAGAGAGAATGAAGGACAAACAACAACCTAGCTGCTAGATGGTGTTTGAAACTGCAGCTCTCCATCATGTACAACTTGCTTTCCATTGGAATCTTATAAAATTAACCTGTAGCATTTATTTGTTTTGTTTTGTTTTTGGCTAGGCCATAGGGTTAAGTGACTTGCCCAGGGTCACACAGCTAGTAAGTGTTATGTGTCTAAGGCTGGATTTGAACCCAGGTCCTCCTGACTCCAGGGCCAGTGCTCTATCCACTGTACCACCTAGCTGCCCCTAACCTGTAGCTTTTAGAAATATCCTTAATTTAACCTTTAAAACAGTCACATGTAAAAGAGCTATAGGCCACAACGTCCTGCAGTCATCCTTCACTCAGTCGTTCTTCTGTCTTCAAACAAGTCCTCAAAAGTATATTTACCTGAGAGGCCGTTCTCTTTAAGGCCTCAGTCTATGTTTCTTCTCAACATTTTAGCTGAGAGGCTGTTTCTTCACAAGTTGATTTTTAGCAGTGTTTCCTATGCAAATATTCTCCCTTCCCGACCTTCCAGTCACCAAAATGTCCACATAGGAAAGGGGCAGTGCCTTATCTATGGAGAAGGGGATCCTAACTCTGTGTGTGTGTGTGTGTGTGTGTGTGTGTGTGTGTCCTGGATCTTTTTGATAGTCTGGAGAAACCTATAAATCTCTTCTTAGAACAATGTTTTTAAATGCATAAAATAAAATGCTAATTATAGTGAAATGGTTATCTATGTATGTATCTATTTATCTCTCTATTATCTCTTTCTATTCTCTCTCTCTCTCCTCTCTCTCTCTCTCTCTCTCTCCTCTCTCCTCTCTCTCTCTCTCTCTCTCTCTCTGGTGTATACATGTATGTACATGTTCTAGACCCCAGGTTAATTTCCTGAATGAAGGAGATGGTCAAGATTTGAACCTTGCCCATCCCAGGGAAGGCCTGGAGCTTCAACAAATTGGGCTGTGTTTGTGACACCTGGCTTGGGCTTTTGGCTATAAGAAATATCCTTTCTGTGGTCAGTGGGAAATGCTTCAAACTTGTCCCCAACTCTGCTCCTAATGAATATCCAACCTCCACCTTACAGAGCATGACCCTAAAACACAAGTCACACACACATCCCACATGTTGAGTCTTGGTACTCCAATGCTATTGATAACTATGACCACACTCACGCATTTTTATTTATGCACATAAAATACAATGATCTGTGCTCATCTATTCCCATGTGTACTCATGGGAATATACACACCCACCTCTGTCTCAAGGCTGCCTATTCTCTAAAGATTGGCTAGCAGAATTTTTAGTGGATTCAATAAATTCACTCATTCCACAAGCATTTATTAAGTGCCTATAGTGTGACAGGTATTTTGTTAGGTACTGGGAACACAAAGACAAAGACAAAACAATTCTGTCCTCAAGGGGCTTGCATTTTATTGGTAGGGAACAACACATACACAGATAAGTAAATGCAGTATATATACACATACATGCATACATATAGATACATACACATACATATATGTGTGTGTAGATAGATACTAACTACTTGGAGAAGAGAGGGAATCATGGCAGGCTTCCTACAGAAGGTGGCACTTGAGCTGATTCTTTAAAAAAAAAAAAGCAAGAACTGAGGGATTCTAAAAGGTAAAGAGGAAGAAGGAATGATTTATAGGCACGGGGTGGGAAATGGAATAGCCCGTATGCGGGACAAACAGCAGATAAGTCAATTTGGCTCGAACACTAAGATTATGAAGGGGAGGAGTATGAAATAAGCCTGGTAGGTTGAAGTGTGATTGAACCTGGATTCCTTCCTGGGCCTATACAAATTGCAGAAGGCAGAGAAACCCTTGACCCCGGGAACAATATAGAAGTTGAGCCCCCTGGCAGGAACAGGGAGCAGGAGCCAGTGCCCTTCTTGGGTCCATGAACCCCTTCCCCAGCCTCCACTTAGGCCTCCTTATGCCTTTTCATGCCCAACTCAACCCTGGGGCTCCAGAATTGCCCTGTGAAGGTCAAAGCTGCCCAGTCCTCCTGACTCTGGGAACGCTTTCCACCTAACCTCACCCTTTTCCTGGATTTGGAACATTTCAACCTCAGTGAGTGGTATCGGCTGGAACATTTTAAACCTCCATTTGGCTTCATAGGCCTCAATTACTCCAGTGAGCTCCTGCATGGTGGAGGGCAGGGGAGGGCAGTAGGGCTGGAGAAAACAGAAGGTACCAATGATAGGAAGGGGAAGTAATTGTATGGCTAAGAGACTGGCATAGGACAGCAGGTGTGCATCTTAACCCTCATGCCTCTGCCGGAGATCTGTGAAACAGACTCCTGGGTGCCATCAAGGGCTCTGAGCAGAAACTCTCACTCTTTTAGTGATTCGAGAAATCCTGGAGAAGTTCCCACCTGTCTCTCAACAGCAACTTCTCTTGGCTGCCCGCCCCCAAACTGGGGGCTCCCAATGTATCATCTGTGCTGTAGTGGGGAATGGAGGCATCCTGAAAAGGTCTCGAGTGGGCCAGGAGATAGACAGGCACGATTATGTGTTCGGGTGAGAAGACATCCCATTCACTCCAGAAGCTACTCATCACAACCACAAATCTCCAAGCACCATCCCTTCCATCCATCCTACAAACTCTTTGGGGAGAAGATTCTAAGCAATGACATTTTCTCCCAGAGCACAAAACAATGCCCTATTTCTTTTTTCTTGGCTAGGCAATGGAGTTAAGTGTCTTGCCCAGGGTCACACAGCTAGTAGGTGTCAAGTGTCTGAGGTCAGATTTGAACTCAAGTCCTCCTGACTCCAGGGTCAGTACTCTATGCACTGCACCACCTGCCCTATTTCTGAAGCAGTAGATTTCTGAAAGCTGGAGACTCTGAGACTCCCTCAAAACTCCAAGTATGGGTAACAATGATGAAGGCAACATCTAGGAGCATAGCATCCTAGATTTAGAGCAGGTCTTAGAGATCCCCTCATTCAATCCCCTCATTTTAAAGAGACCACCTGATCTTTTTTCCCTGCTCCCCTCTTCACCTCCCAAATGTTTACTCAGACTGAAGTGGTCTCTCTCTTCTAGGGTGAATGGGACTCTGATCAATGGCTATGAAAAAGATGTGGGCACTCAGACTTCTTTCTATGGTTTCACCTTGCACAGTCTGACCATATTACTTGACCTGTTGAAGAATCAGGGTTTTCACCAAATGCCAATGGAAAAGGTGAGCCAGGTGTAAAATTAAAAAAAAGGTAAAGCCCCCAAGAAGCAGGGGGAAAAGAGGTCAGACCTGGTCCTGGTATCTTAGACTTCACACAAGTCTGCCACTGAGCCAGAGCCCCAGACATCTGAGGGAAAGGATGCCAAGATCATAGATTTAGATGACCAAAAGTGACCACAGAGATGATCGAGAGCCACCTCCTCAATTAAGAGATGAGGAAACTGAAACCCAGAGAAGTTAAAGGGATTTACCCAAGGTCACACAGATAATAAGTAGTAGAACCCAGGTCTTATGATCCAAATCTAGTATTCTTTCTCCTATGCCACATGAGATAAGGTAGAAAAGCAAGTAGACCAGACCTGCGGAAGGCTGGGATAGGAATATTGGGTGGCTCCCCATTAGAATGTAAGCTTTTTAAAGGTAGAGAATATTTTCACTTTCCTTTGTATCCCCCAAACTTAACACAGTGTCTAGTACCTAGTAAACACAACAGCATCTTATTGACTGACTGAGTGCCTTGGGACCTAGTCCCCAAAGGTAAGGCTCCCAGTTCTTAATCTGTATCCCTAGGACATCCACTTCCTGCACTTCCTTGAAGGGCATCAGGATTTTGAGTGGCTGGAGCACATGCTACATGACCAGATCATGGTAAAAGCTGTCATGGTACCTTTACAGTAGGTACCTTCCCTCCTCCCCTTGCTCCATGGGTTTAGAGCAGTGGTATGCTGGGAAATGTTTAACAACTGGCTCTCTGGATAAAAAAATTAAAATGTAATTTTAATTAGTAATGAAATATTAATTATTAAATTAAATTTAATTAAAATTAAAACTTTTAAATTTAACCTAAGAGGGAGGGAGAAAATTTGGAACTCAAATTTTTTTAAATGAATGCTAAAAATTTATCTTTACATGTAACTGGGAAAAAATAAAATACTATTTAAAACAAACAATGCCTAGTGAGGTAATAGCATTGTAGAATATCAATTAAGTTTACACCTAAGTATTATCCTGAACTCCTCACCGAATATGGCCAATCAGTTGCCAATTTTTACCAATTTGACCTTCACATGTTTTGCATTTGTCCCTTTTCACTACTTGCACACCCATCATCTTTGCTCAGGGCCTCACCTTCTTCAGCTAGACAGATTGAATCGGCCTCCTAATCGGACTCACTGTCCCAAATCTCTCCAACCTATCATTCATATAGTTGCCAAGGTGATTTTCCTGGCCATGTGACCAAACAGTCCAATAAACTCCATTGGTTCCCTGTGGCCTCTAAGATAAACTATAAACTCCTCTGTTGGACTTTTAAAGTCTTTCACACACTGGATCCAACCTCTCTCTCCAGGTTCATTATGTATTGTTCCCTTCAACAGATAGAGCCCTAGTTCTGGAATCAAGAGGTTGTGAATTCAAATCCAGTCTCAGACATTTATTGGTATGCGACCCTAGGCAATTCATTTAACCTGACTTCAACAGTTTCGTCACCTGCAAAATGGGAATAATAATAGCACCCGACTCCCATGGGTGTTGTGAGGAAAAAAATGAAATATAATTTGTGAAGCACTTAACCTTAAAATGTTAGCTGGTCCAGCAGTCAATAAACATTTATGAAGCACCTACAATGAGCCAGGCACTGTGCTAAGCACTGGGGATACAAAGAAGGGTAAAAGTTCCTGATCTCAAATACTTCACAGTCAACTGGAGGAGACAACGTCCAAACAACTAGGTACAAACAAACTACGTAGAGAATAAATTGGAGGTAATCAAGAAAGGCACAGAACTGATTCAAGAGAGATCAGAAAAGATTTCCTGAGTGGTGAGATTTTAACTGGGGCTTGAAGGGAGCAAGTGAGGTTAAGAAACAGTGAATAGGAGGGATGGATTTCTAAGCATGGGGAACAAGCAAGGGTCAGTGCCTGGATTTGGAAGATGAAATGTCTTATTCAAAGAACAGCAAAGTGGCCAGGGTCACAGGAGCCATGAGTGTGTGATCAAGTATAAGGTATAAGAAGACTAGAAAAGGTTTAGGGGGGTCAGACTATGAAAGTCTAGTTTAGTATTTCTTCTTTATGCACATATATCTTCAGATATTGCCAATAATATAATGGAAGCTCTTTGAGGAAAGGGGCTACTTCATTTTTTTTCTTTGTATTACAGGCATCTAGTATAGTGACTGGTATATAGTAGATACTTAAAATTTGTTAAATGATTAATAAGTGAAAAATCTGTCTTTTAAACTGGACTACTAGCTATTCCCTTATAAAACATCTCATCTTCTGTATTCATGCCTTCAAACTGGCAGTTCTCTGTGACCAAAATTACTTTTACTTTATTTGTCATTTATTTACATTATTTTTTTATTTTGAATTCCAAATTCTCTCTTTCCCTTCAGCAATGTGATACCCATTATGTATATGAAGTCATGAAAAACATACGTTTATATTAGTTATGTTTTAAAAAAAGCGAGGAAAATAAAGCAAAAAACATTAAAAAAAGAATGTTAAAAATTATCTTTACATGTAATTGGGAAAAAATAAAATACTATTTAAAACAAATAAATAACAAAGTAACAAAAAACAAAAATAAAATAATATCTCAATAGGAAAAAAAAATAAAGTTAATCTGCATCATTAACATTTTCTCCATTACTTCCTTAAATCTAGACAATAAAAAGACCTTAGCTTTAAAAGGCCAAGGTCTTCCACTGCATGTGGGACCATCTCCAGTCATCCTGATGTGTATCTGGCCATCGGACCCAAATGGCTCTGGAGGAGAAAGTGAGGCTGGTGACTTTGCACAGCCCTCCCTCACTTAAATCCGATTCACCTCACTTAAATCTGATTCACTTGCATGTCACGGCATCACCTCCCTGATGTCTTGATTCTCTTTTAGAACAAAGAACAAACAAACCAGCAAAACAATAAATCAAGCTCTGATTTGTACCCCTTTGCTGATTTCCAAGGTGTAAATGCTCACACTGAAAATTTAACAATCAGTTCTCATGAGCCAGTAAGAACTGGCTTGAGAATATCTCTGGGTTGGAGTATTAGGAGACTGGTTAACTTTCATGGTGCAGAAATTTGGGAGGAAGCCTTGGCTGGAGCTACCAGTTCACATTACACCAGATACTTAACCAGCTATGTGACTTAATCTCTGTCCACCTCAGTTTCTTCATTTATAAGATAGGGATAATAATATTACTGCCCAGGGTTGTTGTGAGGATTACACACACACACACACACACACACACACACACACACACACGTGCATGTGTGCACATGTGTATATGTATATATATGTATATATATATATATATATATGAAATACAATCAGACTTTTGGGGCATCTTGTATTTGTAAGACCTTAAAGCATTACATAAATACTAGTTATGATTATCATTATTTATAATCTGAAATGGCATATAGTATAAGCTTTCCTGCACTATTCCCTCCCAGGGAATATTGGAATCATGGAAATATAAGAAAGGGAGAGCCCAGGCACATCATTGTCACTCTCTAGACTCGAGCTTCTTCACACGTAAAATGAGGGAATTGGGTTAGATGACACCTAACATCCCTTCCTGCTCTGTCTGTGATCCTGTGTACCCCAGCTTCTCAGGGGTCAGTCCCTGTCTCCAGCCTAAGTGACCTGATCCTGCCCACAGATTCAAACCCCAGAATGCTTTTTCTTTATGAAGTCTTTCCCTTTGGACAGGTATTTGCTGATACATCCAGACTTGCTTCAGTATGTGAAGAACAGGTGAATACAAAAGGTAACTGGAGGATGAGGCCATGCTCCTTTCCCATCAGAACTCAGACTGCCTCTGACAGTGTTGGGACTGACTTTGCTCACAGGTTTTTGTGGTCAGAGATCCTAGATACCATCTACTGGCCTTTCTACCGCCCCTCTAATGATGCCTTTCTGCTGCTCTCTGCAATCCAACTGTGTGATCAGGTAAAGCTAAGATTTGGGGTGGTGGTAGGTGGATCCCCTCAGGCCTTCCCAGATGAGAACAGCTATTTGATCACACCTAGTGGGAGGCGAGAATGCACAGGGGTAGTGTACCCAGGATAGGGGAAGCTGAAGGGAGGGACCAGGGCAAAGACCACTCATGACATAAAAAGAGTCATAATTTGGACACCCTTTCTTCCCTCAACACCCTCTCCACAGGTGAGTGCCTATAATTTCATCACTAATGACTTTCATTGATTTGCTGATCACTACTATGACCCAAGGTGGAAAAAAATGCAGTTTTACCTCAACCATGACTTTATACTAGAGAAGAGACTGTGGAAACAATTGCATAATGAAGGTATCATCTGGCTATATCAAGGTCCCAAAGTCATTACACCACAGAACTGGAGGGTGCTCAGAAGTGGCCAGTCTGCTTTCTCATAAGGGAATATTGTGAAAGAAGAAGGACCACTTGTACCTTTGGGAAAGCTCTAAGCTTTGGTAGCTACTTGAACTGCCCTCCCCCTAACCAAGTAGAAAGGGCTCACTTCAGGCCAAGACCATGAAATTTATAAATATTTTGAAAAGAAAATAGGAGGGTCTAGTGGGTTCCTGGATTTAAACTAGATGGGGTTATAAATAAAGAGTTAATACCAAGATTTACTACCAGAAAGTACACCTACTCTTTTCTTCCCACTGTACAAACACATACACACACACACACACACACACACACACACACACACACACACATACCCTTTCCTTTCCAGAGCCTATGACTAGGTTTGAAACCACAATGACAGATGGAAATCACACTACCAGGGTCAGCCTGAAGTGCTTAGAAAAGTGTTGCATCCTTCGAACAAGACGCTAATTAGAGTCAGAACCATGGAAAATTCCAGAGCTGGGGCAAAATGCGGACACTCTACCTTTCTGCATCCAACAACGGAACGCAAAGTTTAATGCCCACAGGTCCCAGGACCAAGGCCAGAGGGGAGTGGGGGTGGGGGTGGGGAGCTTGAGATTGATTGGGTTGCAATACCAGGATGAGGCACGAGGGGACAGCATCTCTTCATCTCCCTGAGTAAATCGTCCGAGTCCATGTGACACTGCCCAAGAGCCCCTCTCTCAACATTTTCCAACTTCCCACAAGTAGCGCAGAATAAACTGTGTCCAGGAGGGCCCCTGGGACCTCGGAATCATCCTTGTTTTGCAATCTTGGGGAGAGGGGTAGAGAGACTGTGTGGGGAGGGCTGAGCGGAGAGCTAGACAGGGATTTACTGGGACTGTACTGGAGAAAGATATGCATAGGGAGACCATCAGTAGCAAAGGCGAGGCGGGGCGGTGGGGAGGGTGAGTGGCTACAGTTCTCTCCGACTTGGGCCCCTTGTTCCGTACTCCCAGTGCCCCCAGCTGTGGTTCCAGTAACTTCCTCCTTCTCCTCCTCTCTCGCCCCGCGGACTCACAAGCCTAAGCGATGAGATGGAGACCCAGAGGTTTGGGATGCATGGGGAGAGAGGGCGAACGCCTTCAGACTTAACTGCTCCTTGCATCCCTTTCCCGAAAAAGTCCGCTGAGCCTCGGGTCTAACCCCCTGGGGAGGAGGGTGGGAAAAGGAAAATGGGGAGAGGAAGGGAGAGGAAACATCAAGTTGAGGGCGGGGAGTAGAGGTCAGCACGGGAACTCCTCTCCCTTCCTGCCCATCTCTTCCTGGCCGCTCCTTGGTCCTGAGGCCAACCCCAGGAGAACTCCCGCAGAGCAAGAAGACGGTCCGATGGAGCTCCCCTGGCTCGGTGGGATGTGGATTCCAAGCGGGATGGTTCTCCGGGTGCTGCTCCTCCTGCTCTCGGCCGTCTCTTCTGGACTGCTGTTCATCTTTTACTATTCAGCCAACAATCTGACCAACAGCCCCCTGCAAGAAACCAGGTAAGGAGATCCAGAAAGGCAGTCGCTGAACCCAGGAGTGCAAAATTGCGACCTAGCGCTTCTTTCCAGCGGATTGCCACCGGGCAGCAGCCTGTCCTCTTCTGGGGACCCCCTAGACCTCAGTCTCTTCTGCTCTCCCTGATCCAGTGTAAGTGGTACCCGTTCATCGAACTCTTCCCCAAATTCTGTCTCTCCAACGTGGCTCCCCAGAACCTTTCGTAGTGTGAAAACCAGGCCTGAGGACGGTCGACCATAGAGGTCGGGGTTGAAGGGCAGCCTGTGCCAGGGCTAGTGGCGTGGGCGTGTCAGAAGGTGAGCTGCCCTGATATGCTGAAGATGAGGCTAAAAAACACTCGTGTTCTAGAGTGCTTTCTGATCCCTGCCTTTTTCTGGGTCCCCTTCCCCCTACCTCAACCTCCAAAACTCACAGGACCTTCCAGGACATTTTGCCCCAAGCTCTGGACAGATGCCATCTGAAAGAACACAGTCTTCCTCCATGCTTCCCTTCACTCTCTAGAGAGCAGTAAATATCTATACCCTGGAAGTAGAAAAAGAGAAAAGAAATTTAGACCATCTGTGAGGGTCCTTGCTTCCCGCAGCCTTCAAGATTTCAAGCTCCTTGAGGGCCCATTTCTTTGTAACCCATTCAGCACTTAGCCCAGTGCATTGGGCTTTCTGAGTGCTTAACCAATGTTTATTGAATTTTTATCCAAATTCCCTAGACTTTCTTAATCAGAGAGGCAGGAGCTGCAAGCTGAGACTCTCACAATGTTTGGTTTGGAATAATTCCCCTTGATACTTACTGATTGGAGGTATTGCTTGTAGAGTTGAGTCATAGAATCACAGTTATCAGAGAGCTGGAAAGAACCTTAACAGCATTGACTTATACATGGATATAACATACCTGAAAAGTTTTTTTGAAAACTTTCAAGGACAGAGGATACCACCATCCCCTGAAACAGTCGATTCCACTTCTTTTTTTTTTTTTTTTTTTGCTATTTCCTCCCATTTTTCCTGGCTCTGCCCCCTGAGGCTATACAAAATAAATCTAAACCCTCTTATACCTGACAACCCAGCAAATACTTGAAGACAACTACTATCCATCACTTCCCCCTTACCAGTCTTCTCCAGGTTGAACATGCCCAATTTCTTCCACGTGAAAGAAAAACTCTGTAGTCTTTGATTTTGGCACAGAAGCAAATTTATTAATTAAATTCCAACCATAAGTCTGCATAGAGTCGGGGCTCTTAACTTTTTTTTTTTTTTTTTTTGGTATCATGGACCTTTTTGACAGTCTGGTGAAACCTATGAGCCCCTTCTTAGAATAATGTTTTTAAATGAATAAAAAAAATACATAGGATTACAGAGGGAACCATTTAAATTGAAATAGTTATCATAATATTTTTAGAACAACAAACAAACAAACATGTTCACAGACCCCAGGTTAAGAATTCTTGAGAGATGGGGAGTGGGAGTGAAGGGATAAGGGAAGAGTTTCCCCCTACCTTGGCAAAGCTCTCTGCCGCAAACTTTACAATTTTATAGTAATTTTGAGACAAAAACAAATTCCATAGCGAAGTAAAACTAGACTTTAAAAGTACAGTTTTAGTGTTTTGAAATGTTAATGTTGGGAGGTATACCCTTAAGGATGTGATCTTCCTAGAATACCGAGTTCTAGTCCAGGGTGTAACCCAAGACCAAGGTCCACACAAAAGTGATTTCCCTCTAATCTTTCTCGGGATTCCAGTCCCTCCCTGAACTCAATTGTCCTATAAAAAGTAAGCCTGGTTAGATCTTTCATTCAAGTAAGGTTTAGAATTTTACACTACAACATGGAAATAATTTTTTAAAAAATATATATATTTATATTTATAAAAGGCATAGCATGTTCCACACTCATAATTGAATTATTCTTTAATATTTACTAGTTCTCCCATCCCAGTCAACCTGCCCACTCTATATCTGAAGACACAAAGGAAGGAACTAGATGATACTGGGGTACCCCTGGTTTCTAAACCCTGAATTATTTCCGTCTTCAGCATCCTTATCATTTCCCTCCAGGGATCTCCATACATCCATTCTTGCCTCCTTCTTTCTGTCTCCAGTTCTTAGATTTCATTCATATGCTATTGCTGATTGATGCATTATTTCACTTCCCTCCCCAACTAGTGGCAGGAGGGTTTGGGTCCCAGGTTCTAGACTCAGATATCATCATTTTAGTGTCTCCTCTCCCTTCACCACTGCACTGCTTGTTCATAGACAGGTTGTTACAGAGCAGAAGATCTTAACCTTTTGTGGCTCATGAACACTTCTGCCCCTTTGGCAGTCTGGTGAAACCTAATATGACTGTGATTTGTTGTCTACATTTATAATTGAAGAAAATGCTAAATTTCAGTTAGAGGTTAGTGAAAATAAAGATGTGGGGTTTTGTTTTCCCAATTCAAATTCATAGGATTCCCCTGAAATCTGTACAGGGAAGTACTCCTGTTACACAGGAATAGTCTCTGCTCTTAGGGAACTTATCAGTTTAAAGAAAGAAGTGATACATGCAAATTAATTAGAACAGTTGTTAACAAAAGCTGTATAACTCATATTCAGATCCTCATTCAATGTCCCGCTTGCGTCAAGCAACAAGTAAGACAAATAGGTCCCAGTAATAAATAATAAAAATAATTAATATTTATATAGGCTTTAATTTGGCAAAGCACTTTACATATATTATTATTTACATATATTATCTGGTCACGACAATCCAGGGAGATGGCTGCTGCCATTATCCTCATTTCATAGATAAGGCAGAGATTAATGATGACTTGTCCAGGGTCACACTAAGTAACCCAGAAGACTCCAAGTCCACTGCTCTGTCCAGGACCTTGAAGGGTGGTAGGGAAATTGAATTCAGTTCAACTCAATGTTTATTTTCCTACTTTGTATTCTTGGGATCTTAAGCATGTACAAGGCATGCGCCAAGTGTGCCCGGGTACATACTCTAGGTTTGAGACTCAAAGAAGAAAAATAGCAATCCCTGCCCTTGGGCTTACAGTCTATTTTAGGGAAGGGGGAATGCAAAGCACACATACATGTTGAAACACTCCCTCCTCCTCCCCTAGGAGTCTTTTTTTTTTTCTCTCAGTATCTAGTCTGAAGCCTGAAAAAAGTGATTTAATATTTCTAAAAAAAAAAGGAATGGTGGGGGGAGGATGCTAGTGTGCTCACACACATTTTTGAGTAAATATAATACAGGGTAGAATGTCATGCAGGTAATGGGGAGATCCAGACAAAGTGCTCAAGGTAAATTTGAGAAGGGAAGAAATTTTCATTGAGAGAATCAAGGAAGGCTTCATGGAGCAGGTGGTATTTGAGCACAGAGCCTTGAAGGAAAGGAAGACTTTTAACCTGCAGAGATGAGGAGGCACTATAGGCCAGGCATGGGGGAATAGGTTGCATGAGTGCATGGAAATGGAAGCTAGCCAGCTAAGATGGGGTGATGGCTAATAGTCCAGTTTGGCTGGACTCTAAAAAAAAGGAAGAGGACCCGTGTGAAATAAACCTAACCTGGAAGCGTGGAGCAATGCTTAGAATCCAGGGAAGGTTTCCAAAGGGAAGTGCATTTTGAGCCGAAGGGGGAGAGACTGGGTTGTATGGAACAGAGAGAAGAAACTGTTCCAGACAAATGATATTACATGTTAACACAAGTGGAAGAAAGTGTTAGGGCCTTTGAATGGGGGGTGGGATGAGCAGACTTATCTCTTTGTAGTGGGGATTACAGAGAGGAATAAGAAATGTGAGAAATAAGATGACAGAAGTGGCAATTTGTAGTGGGACCTGAAGGCCAAGTTGGCAGTTCCTAGTGCCAGGCACAGGGTGAAATCCGAGTCAAGGGATGTGGACAGACTTCTCCCTGGCAGCGGCAGCTTCCCCTGGGGGTTGAGGTTTCCAAAGGCATTTGTCCTGGGGTTTGCATTTGCTTAGAAGCAGAGCCGTCAGTGAATCCCAAAGCGAGTACAGAGGGAGTCTTTGGGAGCGACTTCTGTCTTACCTGAGTTTAAGTGAAATGCAAGCTGGCAAAGCCTAACGAGTTAGAAACGCTGTCCCCCTCCCCCACCTTGAACTGATCTTTTCTTCTCCTTTCAGCCCTATCTCTGGGTCTGTTAAAACTTTCTTCCCTATTCCTTCCCAGAGGGCACTGCCTTCGTTCTTCTGGAGAAGGATCTGGTTTCAGATGGACAGATTTACAAGCTTATTGCTCCACCGGTCTCAACCTGCTCCAGCTCCTGGAGACAAACTCTCAACAATGCAGTCTTTGTTTCCCTGACAATAACCCTTTCATCCTGGCATCCCTGTCAGTAAAACATTTTTGAGCATGCACCTACAATATATGTAGACTTACTTATTAAAATGTTATATTCATGTGCTACTGTACTCATATATTCTGTATATTATAAAACATACCCACAAAATAATTTGAAAGGATGAGGTAAAAATGAAATAAATAATATTTTTAAAATAATTTTATTTTATTAATGGAATAAAATGCATTTTTGCTCTCACCAAAAAGTTGGTGAGAGCAATGTGATATGTTTCATCATTTAAAAAACTGTCTTAACACTTTGTGACATGGGAGTCAAATGTCTGGTTCTAAGTTCATTATTTCAATAGGTAGTTTTAATGACTGTAATGGGCTGAAAAAGTTATATAGATCCAAATGGAAGGAATGCATTGTTCGCTACTAAATTATGATTCTCATTTTTTCAATTCCACCCAACTATTAATCAAAGGTTTATGTTGAAATTCTGCTAGTTAGCTTTCATCTTTCCTAATTTCAATGTTGTCCTTTGTAAAGGAATTGAAAGGTATTACATTTTTACATTGTTAATAAAAAAGTTCAACACCCTCGAAACTTCCTTTAGAAAGTTTTTACATAAGTAAAATTCTGTGCCCAAGTTTTTTAAGTGTACAAATGTAAGAGTTTTTATAGGTGACACGTTTACATTGCTTTC